CAATTCCTTGAGGCATTGTTCTTTTATGACGGACAAACTCGACCTGTAAATAATCAGCACTGTGAATTTAGCTGTAAAAGATAAAATGCCACCATTTTGAACGTAGTTATTATGTGGATCTTTGTTGCTTCTCTTTCTCTAACTTTTTTGCTTGATTTAAATGCTCCACTGTGAGCATTATATAACACTTCAAATTAAACTTTTTCCCCTCAGATAACTGTCAAGGGTTACGCAGTATCAGGAGGTGGGCGAGGCATAGAAAGAGTGGATGTATCCATCGACGGCGGCAAAACCTGGGTGGAAGCCACCAAATCACAGAAAGCTGGCATTCCATACATTTCTGATAGTGAAAATAGTGACAAATGGGCATGGGTGCTTTTTGAGGCCGAAGCTGACATCACTCAGATGACTGAGATAGTTGCCAAAGCAGTATGTTACATATTCCTTTTACAATGTTTTCAATAAGTCCTATGATTATCCAAGAACTCAAGGATTAAATGTTTTTTTTTTTCCGATCACTTGCAGGTTGATATAGCCGGAAATATCCAACCTGAAAATGTAAAAGACATTTGGAACTTAAGGGGAATACTTAACACCTCGTGGCATCGGGTTCACGTTCGGGCTGGTCACTCAAATCTGTAGGTAAAAGTAAGGAGTTGAACCCCCTTTTTTCACATGAATAATCAGTTTTACGTACATGTAAATGCTCAGATATTTATGTATTGCTTGAGAAGGTTGTCTGGAATATTCGGGTAGTTTATGAATTTAAGATTGGTACAAGCATAAATTTGGTAATTGGGGGATCTTTATTCTCTGTAGTAATATTTTGTCGTATCCGCATAATAAGGATAAATGTCTCATCTAGTACATGGTTAAACACTTAACTGGGCCTGAATCCTTTTTTGTCTGTTTATAGAACATTACAAATTTATGGTCCCAATGTTCTAATAAGGTTCGATGAGACGAGGCTGTCATTGTTTTATCTCTTGTCCTGGCTTAGGGACATTTGGCCAGCTTGGCTTTAATCTTGGATTTATTGAACCTATCTTTGCTATTTGTCTGACTGTTCATATTGATTCCATGGACATTGTTCGAAAGTAAATAAAAATAATAAATAAAAAAACTAATGTTTTTTATTCAACTGGAAATGTGGATGTCTTGTGTCTACCTAAATGAGTTAAATCTATAATTGTGATTGTACAGTTGAATTTTCATCTAACCCAATGGGAGAACATATTTTCCACTTATCAATAATTTGTTTGAAACATCCAGTATTTATTTAAGCAGTAAATACTTAATAAAAGTGTATTATTATTAGTAATATTATCTTAATAACAGAACAATGAAGTAATTAGTGTCGAGATCGAAATTATTGATATACCCCTCAGGTTTGCAAATGATAAGATTGATGGTGGTGGCCCTTGGATATCTTTTCAATGGCCCTACCCTAACCATTCGATCAATTATTAATTATTATTACCTTTTGCCACCTTGGCAGTAGGGTATGTTGCCCTAATCTAATAGACCCATTTTTGTTTTGTGTTTCATCGGTAATGCTAGAAGAATCACTTTCTCCCTGCATGCATATACATGTGATGTCGGTCGGGATAAGTACGTACCTCTTTTCAAAATGTTTCTAATACAAGAAGCAATTATTTTGGGATAACCAAATTCCCATGCATGTTACATCTGCTTATAGATATATCGTGCCTAATTAATGTGTGTTTTTTTTGGTGTAATGTGTCTGTATTTTCGGTGTAGTGCGTGTTCTTTTTTATTAGTGTGTGTTTTTGCTGCAGTGCATGATTTTTCTCCAGTGTGTTTATGGTGTAGTGCGTGTTTCTTTTAGTATGTGTTTACGGTGTAGTGCGTGTTTTTTTCAGTGTGTGTTTACGGGTGTAATGTGTTTTTTTTCATTGTGTGTTTTACGGTGTAGTGCGTGTTTTTTTTCAGTGTGTGTTTAAAGTGTAGTGTGTTTTTTTAGTATTTTTTTTCCAGTGAGTGTTTACGGTGTAATGCGTATTTTCTTTCCAGTGTGTTTACGGTATAAATGTGTGTTTTTTTTCAGTGTGTGTTTACGGTGTAATGCGTGTTTATTTTTTAATGTGTGTTTACGGTGTAGTTCGTGTTTTTTTAGAGTTTTTTTTCTAGTGTGTTTACGGTGTAATGCGTATTTTTTTTCAGTGTGTGTTTACGGTGTAATTCGTGTTTATTTTTTACTGTATATTTACAGTGTAGTGCGTATATTTTTTTGTGTTTTTTTCCTAGTGTGTGTTTACTGTGTAATGCGTGTTTTTTTAGTGTGTGTTTACAGTGTAATGCGTGTGTTTTTTTTTTCATTGTGTGTTTACGGTGCAGTGCGTGATTTATTTTGTTTCTTTTTCAGTGTGTGTTTATGGTGTAGTGCGTGTTTCTTTTAGTGTGTGTTTAGGGTGTAATGCGTGTTTTTTTTTCAATGTGTGTTTACGGTGTAGTGTGTTTTTTTTAGTGTTTTTTTTCCCTGTGTGTGTTATAGTGTAATGCGTGTTCTTTTTTTCCAGTGTGCGTTTACTGTGTAATGCTTGTTTTTTTCAATGTGTGTTTAAGGTGTAGTATGTGTTTTTTTAGTTTTTTTTTCTAGTGTGTGTTTACGGAGCAATGCGTGTTTTTTCTTAGTGTGTGTTTACGGTGCAATGCGTGGGTTTTTTCCAGTGTATGTTTACGGTGTGTGTTTTTTTTTTATTCTTTTTCCTTTTCAATGTGTATTTATGGTGTAATGCATGTTTCAGAACTCCATAATGCATTTAAAAATTACTTATCATTGAAATATATATCCATCCGAAAATTGAACAATGACCATACCACGCTTGTAGAATGGGTCTCGACATCTTATTTTGACCCATAAATTCTTGGTAGTAATTTTTCGTAGTGGTTGAATAATTCAAACGACTTGTGATTTTTCTATAATTTCAGAAAGGATGATCTGGTGGGCGTGGGCGGCTTTCAGCATGATAAACTAGAATAGTTTGTCAACGAATACAATATGAGCCTCCATGACTGGAAAATATGATCCCTGCCATAACAAAACGTGCTTCATTATGCCAGTTTCCCACTTCTTTAAGTTTATTTTCCTAATTCGATCTTATTACGGGGACTGATTCCAAATCATGATTGGGGCCCACCAATCACATTTTTTTTTCTCTCTCTAAACAAAGCCTCAACTTGCAAAGATTTCACAACCATATGTATCCATCCGCCAATCAGATAGATAGTACAGATACAAGAAAATGATGGGGTTTGGCACATCATTACTCATGTCTGCCCCTTTAGTACTTTCAATATTCCTTCCCTCCCTCATATTCCTCTGTTCATTCATTCAATGGAGATTCCGGCAAGCTGCCTCAAATCCAGGCCCGATTTCATACCCCGTAATTGGATGCCTAGCTTCTTTCTACAAGAACCGACGCCGCCTGTTGGACTGGTACACTGACATGCTGTCAGTGTCGCCGTCACAGACGATAACTATCTCCAGATTAGGTGGTCGGAGGACCGTCGTCACAGCCAACCCACAAAACGTAGAGTACATTCTAAAGACAAACTTCACCAACTACCCCAAAGGCAACCCCTTCACGGAAATCCTCGGAGATTTTCTCGGAAATGGTATATTCAATGTGGACGGTGATCTGTGGTACAACCAGCGTAAGCTGGTCGTACACCAGTTCAATGCCACGTCATTGAGAGGCTATGTAGAGAACGCACTCAAGGAAGAAGTGGAGAAGAAGCTGATTCCGGTGCTGGAATCAGCTGCAGATGATGAGCAGGGTAAATCCGTGGACCTGCAGGATTTGCTGAGAAGGGTTGCGTTCGATTTGGTCTGTAAGGTTTCGTTAGGATACGACCCTGGTTGCGTGGAGTACCGTTCTTTGGATACACCGCATCCCATTGTTGAAGCATTTGATGTGGCATCGGATATGAGTGCTAGAAGAGGTGCAGCTCCGATTTCACTCATGTGGAAGTTTAAGAGGCTCTTCAATCTTGGGTCGGAGAAGAGGCTTAGAGAAGCCATTAGTAGAATCCATCTATTCATACATGGAATAATTCGTGACAGGAGAAATGTGGTATCGACGGGGGAATATTCCGATCTTATGTCAAAGATGGTGTTGGATGGGGAAGAAGACGAGGTTGTGAGGGATACGATGATAAGCTTCATAATGGCAGGAAGAGATACAACTTCGGCAGCTATGACGTGGCTTTTCTATTTGCTGTCATGCCACACTGAAGCAGAAAACGAGGTGGTGAGGGAGATAGAAAAGGTTGTGGGAGATGAAGAAGAGATTAGTTTGTCGAAATTGGAAAGATTAAAAGAATTGAGGTGGTTAAAGGCTTGTGTTTGTGAGTCGATGAGGCTGTACCCACCAGTAGCGTGGGACTCCAAGCATGCTACAGCCAATGATATGTTGCCAGATGGCACCGGAGTGAGAGCCGGAGACCGGGTGACTTATTTCCCATACGGTATGGGGAGGATGAAGGGTTTGTGGGGGGAGGACCGGTTTGAATTCAAACCGGAGAGATGGGTTTCTGAGGTGGAAGGAGGTGAAATTAAGGCCATAAAAAATGTTAGCCCTTACAAGTTTCCAGTGTTTCAAGCCGGTCCAAGAGCTTGCCTTGGAAAAGAGATGGCATTCGCTCAAATGAAGTATGTGATGGCTTCAATACTGAAGCGGTTCACAATCAGACCGGTGAACTCCGACCGGCCGGTTTTTGTGCCCCTCCTCACGGCTCACATGGCCGGAGGATTTAAGGTATTTGTTCGTCGAAGAAGACAGTAGTAACATGCAAATGTAACAGTAAGATGAATCTGGTTTTTAATGTATCAATCAATTTATTTATTCTTTTCTTTTATTATTACCAAAACATTTAAGCCATGTGCAGCCGGAACACTCGGCCAGACTGGGCGGTTATGTGATATTAAAATACATTTTAATGCTTTCAGAAAAAATAAAAATAAAAATATTTTTTAATATTTTATTATGTTATGAGAAGTGCTCTATGCCCCTACCAATTCAATTCTATATGCAATAATTTATAAAATATATACATACGTGTCTCTTACACAAAAGGCCATGTAGGTCAAATAAAATTAGCATGCACTAGAATTTTAAACCCACCAGACAAAATATCATAGAATTGCACGTGTTTCCATGATGACTCATTTATTTTAGAAGTAAGAAATATAGATATATGTTATGTATGCATACTACCGAGGCACGAATTGGACAACAAAACAGTATAACATGGATATATTAGTATTACATTATCACTTAAGCGATAAGCACCTACAAGTGGCAGACAAACTCACTAATGTCAAGATGCTTCACATGCTACAGTTTTCTTTTCCTAATTTTTTGGTCACTAATTCAACTAGTTAGAGAATTAACCTTAGCCAGAACTCTTAAGACTTGAGGCACGAGAAACTAAGATCGACTAATTAATTTGAACTGGTTCAGAGTCTCGTGATTATGACATTACTATTATTATTATTATTATGAATCTATTAGTTCAATTTAGGTTCGAATGCTATAAAACAATTTGCAAAAGTTGATGTAAGCAAGTGATCTTACAGCATTTTGAATCAATATCTGGACATTTGCTACAGCGACAAGCTACCGAACTGCTGGTTCCACTTCTCGTACGTGCCAAGTTCGTTGAGTGAAACCGAAGGCCTCACCTCTTGTAATGCTTTCTCAAAATCCTGGACGTAAAAGGGCAAAATGAACTCGAGAATTTACATGAACATTAATCGGACAATACGAAAGCAAAGAAACAATTTTCATCAACAATAGATTAGTTACCTCAAGATTTACTGGCCTCATATCATCCTTCTTCAGCTTTGTAATTTCTATACCCTGTGTTAGAGCTTCTCTCAGTGGACCCATAGTAGCATCTTTCACCAAATTCTTCATATCAGATCCCGAGTATCCTATAATACCAGCAACATTTAATATTTACAGTAATTACAATACATCAGGGCTTTTAAATTTCCAGAATTTTTTTTTAACTTGTTTGGTAATTTATTGGAAGCAGTAACCTTCAGTCAATGTGCAAATAGTATCAATATCTTCATTTGAAAGGTTAAACAATCCATCTTTCACCAGTAGGTTCTTTATGATCCAGGATCTTGCTTCTGCATATCAAATTCATATAATTGAATAGATAAGAAACAAAAAGAAAATCCATAAGCTTACACAGATGATTCCAAACTCGGACCTGAAGTGGGGAGTGGAATGTACAGTCTCTTCGTGAGTCGTCTCCTTGCAGCCTCATCAAGTTCTTGAGGTCTATTAGTTGCACCTATTTCAGGAAACATATAGTTAGACATCCTGCTCGAGTTTCTACTAAACTGCAGAATCTACAAATTTATTGGAAAGATTAAATGTGTTTTTGTGCATATTCGAAACTATATGTTTATTGAAGTCCCTTTTGTTGGAACTGAAATTGCTTGTTGGTGCAACATATTTAGGCCAAAACTGAGATAGCCAGTTCAGCAATAACCTATTAGTAGAATTTGCTCGCTCCCACTGTCAAAGCCTTCCATTTCAATGAGGAATTGTGTCTTTAGTCGCCTACTGGATTCATGTTCACCGTCTGACTTGCGCTGCACCAAACATTGAATCTCTTAATCGTTTATCATTGTGCAAGTAATGATTGGTAATTAAGAAAATACTACATTGGAATGTGGCATTTGATACGATAGCACTCATAATCAACATCTTTTTTAACAGTTCATCTTTTCAGTATTATAAGAGAAGGCAGATAAATGAAACCAATAAGAAAAGTTGTGCAATTGATGAAATAAAAATTTGTCAATAGTAAGAGTTACCTATTTTACCTGAGACAGAAGAGAGTCTATTTCATCCACAAATATCACAGCAGGTTGGCGACAGCTAGCAACGCCAAAAAGTGCTCTCACAAGCTTTTCACCCTCACCTATCTACAACCATTAATCGAAGTTCGATGATTAGAGAAAAATAAACTTACACATCAGGTATCGCGTGTTGGCTGTACAACTCAATAATGTATCTACATGTCGACATTGACTAGGTATATTTGCACAAAACAACATATGATAGTAACTTTCACACTTAGCTTGTTTCCGGATTGCCCCGGTTGTCGATATATAATAAAATTCACTAGAATATTATTCAGAGATTCAGTTAACATGGGATCAGTGGTGAAATTTCAAATTTCAACTAAGAACTAAAAAGCCATATCCAGATTCTTCTAATATATGATAATTTATTGCATCTGACCAGTCACTTAGGTTCATGCAGAAATGTATACCCATTTGCTTGTCAATGAACTGGCTGATATGTAGAAAAATGTTGCTTTAGCCTCTCCAGCAATTGCTTTCCCAATCATAGTCTTGCCAGTTCCCTAAGCAAAGAAGGAACAGAAATAAGCAGCAGGCTTGTTGCACACAACTTTGACTGTGTACTATAATATATACTTACAGGAGGTCCAAAAAGGAGAAGACCACGGCCTGGAGAACGGCAACCTTTAAATATGTCAGGACGCAGCAAAGGCCATATCACCATCTCTGTCACACATTTTTTTGCATGCTCCAAACCAGCTTAAAGTATCCACATACACACAAAGCTTTTTATCAGCTAGAGGATATTAGCTTCCTTATGAAACGGAAATCATGTACTCTAACATTTATCTTCTCAAAGATACGGAAATCGTGTACTCTAACGTACCGATATCTTCCCAGCGGACATTGGGGTCTCTGTCCATTATCTCATTACTGACATGCTCAATAAGCCTTGGTTCTAAATTCCGTAACTTTTCAGGAAGCTCACCATCAGGACCGCATAGCAACTCCAAACTACATTATATATGGAACATTTAAACCTTGCATGCAGAATACTCAATGAGAGAAAAGGAGCAAGTATTCCAATTACTAGATACAATGTGCTTATTAAGAATTACAAGATTGGAGAAATGTAAAGAAAATCCAAAGTCAAATGACATATACCATCTTTTTGTGGAATCTTCTACTGCATCTTCACCCTTCCCAGAAGTGCGTGAAGTCACATTGCCTGTATTATTTCCAGTCGATCTGATCGGAGGAACAAAATTACCTCTCACTCCACGACGAGAAAACCCATAAGATCTGGCTCCATAACCCCTGTGAGCTCCGGCATCACTTTGAGGCGAGACGGATGCACTTGGCGATCCAGTTAAGCCTCGCTTTTTCCTAGCCTCCATTTCCTGGCACAGTGTAACACATTGTGCTAATTGCATACAAAATCATCGAGAAAGAGTTTCAAGATTTATATTCAAAGCTTATGTTGCAATGTGGTTCTACTTCTAATCAAACACAGCCGGTATTGCAAGCAGAGATGCCCCTACTGATGCTATGACAATCATGCTTAACAGTGGTTTAAAGGTTAAAAAGAAGAGTTACAACAGTAACCATCTTAACAGGTTTAGGGTAAACAATGAGCAAAGCAGAACAAGTCATAGTTAAGACATCGATAGTAACCACAACAGATTTAAGCACATCTTCATGTAATACAAAATCACGTGCATACCAGTTTTGCTCTAGCAGTAACAAATCCATTACTGGAAGCCTCAACCTCAACTTCTTCACTGCCTGATGGGGATTTCAGGTTTTCAGTTCTAGGGCTAATAGTTTCCCTATGCAACCGTTTTGTTCTAAAACCAATCCCACGAGCTCCTTCCTCATCCTCTATTTTAATAATGGTAGGCATAGAATGATTTCGGGGATAGTTGTAGCTTATACTATTTTTTTCAGTAGGTTCGTAATCTTCTGATATTTTTTCTCTCGTGAACCTTCGATTGTCTTCTTTAGGACCATTACCATATATGGAAGTCAGTTTTGCCTGTATGAGAGTCTTGGAGGTCTTCAAGTTATCCTGCTTGTCAGGTTGCTTTCTCTGATTAAAAAAAAGGTGATTTCACATGTCAAAAACAGCATGTAATTACTGATATCTAAAGCTGGTATAAGATGTAAAAAATGGAAGACGAGATGGAACTTTGTTGAGAAGTAAGCAAGGAAAACAAAGACAATATGCAATAATTTGGTGCATCATACAAATCCATATGTAGTTGTTTCACTGGACTGCGGACAAATTGCTTGGAAATACTTGGATTCCTTAATCTTCTGCAAATCAATATCACCTCTCTTTCTGAATATGCAGCCTGGATCCTTGCCTGCTTGCGCGAATGCTTGGCTGAAGTATTACAATGCAAAGAAAAGGCATTATCAAGAAGTAACAGCGAGTCATACGAGTAAAACACACCTTGGTGAACTGTCAAAGAATGTCACGGAGCATAAATAAGACATAAACTTGACAACTAAAGAACAGCAGAAAGGGAGGAGTATTTGCATAACACCCCCACATATCAACAATATTTTCCTTCAGCAGCGAGTGAATAAAAATGTCAGACTTATCAATGATTACTCAATCATACTCACTAGTTACGTATTAATTTTCAAAAATAATTCATGGTAGTTACAGTAGAGGAAGTATCTAACATAAGATTAGTATATTGTGCAAGTTGAAGACGAGGCAGAATTTATTTTTGACGTCTTCTTTCTTTTTACCCAATGGAACCTGAGATCCGAACAATACAAATAAATGAAAAATGGAGATGAAAATTAATATATCGATTTCACTTATCAAACACGTTCATCAATTAAATCTGCAGATCTAGTTGGTGCATAATGAAAAAATAAATGTGAAAGACAAACTAAACCTACAAAATTTCAGAAATAACTTTAGGCATCAGGTTCAGAAAATCTATATATACAATAAAATCTCTCAAACCGATGACGCAATTTTAGTCTTACATACTGAACAGTAACTATTCCATAACACCGCAATTCACAAGAGTAAGGGAGGATAGCACTTAATTTAAGTTGTAAAAAAAACCTCATTCAAAATGTTTCTTCAAATAAAGCGATAAGAACTGTTTCAGCCAGTTGTAATAATTCAAACTAATGCCATACCGATCGGAATCAGGAATCAAGGCGCGCCGAGCCCAGCCGAGTTTGGATACAGCTTCACTGCGAATGGGGCGAATGAAGGCCTCGTCTACTGAGGAATTGGAGCGAGAGTCCAGAAATCCAATGAGCCCTAGGGATAGCACTTGCGCCGAGCCGAAATCACCCTTCTCCAGAGCCGCGTCTGCGCCGAATAACAGACACTGAAGACGCTTGAAATTTTGATCGACTTCTCTTCTCCAACACACCTCCGATTCGCCATCAAATTTCGGCTTCGGTGCCGCGACGAAAGCTGCAGTCTCCTCCTTTCCCGCCATTTTCCGGCTCCTGCTGCTGCTGTGTAGAAATTGTACCAAAATTCGAAATTCGTCGATCAATAGATATTTGAGAGTTCACGCATTGAGATCGTATTTGGGCATGGGCCCAAATGTTGCTAATCTTAATTACCAATGGGCCAAGTCTAGTAAGCCCTTTTCTTCTGAGAACCGGATCCGAATAATTTCCTTAGGTCTTACCTTTTGGCCCATGTCATGAATTAGGGCATTTAAGTTGGGATCAGAAGCCAAACGACACCGTTTTAATGAAAACTGAAGACCGCTGTAAGTTGCAAAGCACGCTTTGGGCGTGTGAGGCTGTGAGCTGCAGTCCTCCCGGAAGATGCCATCTGGAAATTAGGGTTACAAAAATTCCTTTCAATTTGGTAAAATCTTTAGCAGCTCATCATTCAAAAGAGACAGGTCAATAAATAAAATTCGAGGCGATCCATAAACTCACTTAAAAGAGAAAAAAAAATCTCCATGAAGCAATATCTCAAACATTACAACTAGGCTGTTATTACACATACCATGATACCACAACATATAAATACAACAAAGAAGAACTACAACTATCACCGTTCATCGATTTACATTGCCGTATTAGTCCAGCAACGAAAACTAAGTGAAACCATTTAGCTGGAACTTCCAGATATTCCACAAGGATACAACATGCTATCTTCGCGTGGTGCTTTACGAAGACGAAACCTTCATTACCCCGCGCTTGAAAATCAACGAGCACAGATGCCCCAGAACAAAAAAAAAACGATCGTTACATTGCATCCTAGTCATTAACAAGTTGCAGAATTCCCGACCATTCATGTGTTGACAGGGGCATCAGACGGCATTTTTCGATTTAGGTAGCGAATGACAGCATCTTCAACCCTGTCATGTCGAAGGGATTTCAAGAACATTAATATATATCATAAATTCGTCTTTTATGCATAAAAATGAATTCACATTGAACATTCACGGAATGAAAGACCACGACTAATATGGCAATCAAATTTCATTACATAATGTTGCAATAAAGTTCCCATCATCTAACTTGTCAACTAGTAAGAAACGTGTATAAATATCAACTAACCTATTTTTTTATTTTATTTTTGTAATATCGCAAGACCAACTAACTATCAAAAGATAATTTCTATCTAGAAGCAACATTTTAAGTGAAGGACAGTTGTATGAATAATTCCCTGTCAAACAAAGGCAGCTGCATGATATTCGTGGAGTTAAGATGTTAGAAAACTATAAAAGAGAACATTTAGGCCTCGTTTGGTTGGGTATATCAACCATAGCTAAATAATTGGACATCGTTTGATGTTTGGTAAACCCAATAATTTTCCGGGTCAACCCGGAAATAATATTTTATCATGGCCTATCTTGCCTTTTAGGGAGATTTATAAATTGGACCTTCCATGGTCCAATAATACAATTGAGTTTTCATTAGATTATTTAATCTTATCTTAGTAACCAAACGAGGCCTTAAAAGAATCTGGAAATACAAAATTTAAACCATACCAGGGCTGGTTGAAGAAATCCGAATGACGCTCCTTTTCCGCATTACGACTCGTTTCGCCAGCAACAAGCTTCAAATCCTTATTTTGAGAATCTACCAGTGCATTAATAAACTCGATAGGCGACTGACTAAATCCAAGAAAGAAAGCTCTTCTCCTTCTGTGCTCGTGGATCTTTCTTATAGCAGAACAAATCGCTTCATCACATGCGTCAATCTCTTTTGTCTTCTCAGTATTTGCCAACAAAGCATTCAATTCTCTCTGTATCGGAAAAGGCACATCAACTAACACATCGTAGCACGCAGTTCCAACAGGGCTATTTCCGGAAAGTTTGATCCTGTGTTCCAAATGTATTGGCTGTGGAGGAAATAAATGGGGCGTAATTCTTTGCGTGACAGCTGTAAATTTGATCTTGGCTTCACCGAAAACTTTCTGAAGCGGCGGATCACAGTTGAAAGAAGATGCATCGTCTGGGCACTGCAATTTTCGAGCCTTCACATACTGCCATACAGCAGCCATGATTCTTGCACGAGTATCGACTTCAATACCTAAAAGCTCCGTCAAAGCTGCTGAAAGCTTATACTTCTCGGGGGTGTAATTCATCTCTAATCTTATGCTGGCGGTGAATTCTTGATCCCCTTTTCGTTTTACTTCAAACCCTTCGTGTGGAGCAGGCGATCGAGCACTATCCCATATAATCAAATGGTTATCGGGGTATATTTTCTGGTCAAGAGTGATAGTAACCCTCTTGAAAAAAGAAGAGGACTTTGGGTATGAAGGGTTCGATTTCTGCATCATGGCAGCTTGTTCTGGATCAGCCCCTTCCTCCAAAATCCTCCCCACGATTTTGAGAGTCCAGGTGGGCGGATCGGCGTTTGGTTTTCTCGGTATTGTGCGGATCTGATTAGCAAAAGTGTTGAAGACGTAGATACGGAGTGTTTTCTGGATGTAGGAAGGTGTCTTCAAAGCCTCTTGGATATCGATCTTCTTCCTAGTCAATGCAGAGTCGACTCGAGACTCGAATTCGAGGAGCTGAGTGTAAAGAGCCGACTCGGGTAAAATAGCTGCGACTCTTTCTTGTAACTGCTTTTCGGGAAGCTTCTGCTTTTTCCTACGGGCGGCCGCGGCAGCTTCCATTGTCCTTATCGGGGAGGCGGTGTTGGAAGCGGCGTAGCTGGGCGGGCGGACAGGTGGCTTTTGTGGGAACCGTTTGGCATTAGCATTTCCAATGCCTGAAAGGGAAGGAGATTGTGTGCCTAAATTGGCAAGGCCTTGGTTGAATGGAAGACCATGAGCGGCTTGATATTGGGCTTGCATTTGTACATGGGCTGCAATCATTTGAGCATGAGCGTGTGCTTGAGCCTGCGCTTGGGCATGAGCTTGAGACTGAGCCTGAGCCTTTGACTGAGCTTGGGCGAGGGCTTGAGCTTGAGCTTCGGAAAATTGGAACTGGTTCGCAAATCCAGCCACCATTTGTTGCTGGGAAGATGGATTCATCGGCAAAGAATTACCAAAAGGGGATGAAACACCGGTGTTCTTTTGTTGAGGGTTATTGTTGTTTGCAGACATGGCTATCTATATCTTACGAGTTAGGAAGAAACAATATAATTGAGTGAATCTGTAGCCTTTACATCAGCATTTCCAGAAGAGGTCCTGCAATTACAAGATTTAGAAGTTAATTATAAATTCATTAAGAGTCTGAGGAAATTAAAATAAATAAATAAAAATAAAAAATAAAAGAGAGAGAGTAGCTTTTTAGATAAATTAAGTTCAACTGTGAGAAATCAACGAATTCAATCGAGGTAAAAACAACTGAGATCAACACAAACAGCAAAACAAGGCGAGGTTTATAAGAGAAGTGAAAACCCTAAAAACTTAAACAGATACAAAAAAATTACATAGTTAATCCTGAAAAAAAAAAAACGATGAAAGTGGAAACGAAACTATCTGGATCGTAACAAATTCTACTTCGGAAATCGAACCAGCTGCGAAAACAAAATTCAGCTGGTATTAAACATACAAATTTAAAAACATACAAGGCAAAAAGAAAACAGTGGATTCAAAGGTGAGAAATTTTATCTCACTCAAAAATTAGGGAAGCAAGTTACTCTGGATGAGATTGCCGACTGCTCGTTTTGCTTCGGTTGTTTCCCCGTTCGGTCGCCGGCCGGCGAGTCAGTGATGTTGGGTTGATTTTCAATTTTCTTCCACTTGTGGTACTGTCAACTGTGTATTACAGAGCAGAGTTAAATCGCGATGTGCCAAAATAATGTTGAAGAAAAGAATTAATAGGGCCCAAATATAATTAATTTTTCTAATTGGGCCACAAAAGAAATAAAAATAAAATAAAGGCCCATTATAATTTTATCATTTCAGAAACCAATTGAAAACTTTTGAGCTGTAATTTAATCAGCCTTATCCCAATTCCCAAACGAACAAATTTCTCCCCCAATTTCCCAGCCATGGCAACCTCATCCATAGCGAACCTCTTCTCTTTCTTCACCCCCTCAAAACCACCGCCACTCGCGCCCACGCCGTCGATCAAGTTTCCGCCGTCTCATCTCTCCGCCACCGCGCCGCCGGAATCGACCAGCAGCAGGCCGGGGTGGGGCCCGCTAGCCGTGTCGAGTGAAGCAGCCCGGGATGACGTCATGCAGGTGGTGTGCCCGTCGCTGGCCAACGCGAACACTATGTACTTCCGGTCGGCGTACAACGTGCAGGTGATAGTGGACGATAACGAACCGGACGAGAGGCTGCTCGGCCGGTTCAGGAGAGAGGTGATGCGCGCCGGCATCATCCAGGAGTGCAAGCGCCGCAAGTACTTCGAGAACAAGCAGGACGAGAAGAAACGCAGGACTCGCGACGCCGCTAAGCGCAATCGTCGCAGGTTTTCTTTCACTCTTTTCGTACAGTATTGTTTGCGCCTTTTTATTTTTCCACCATTGATGGCTAGAAGCTTAGAATTAGCGCACAATTGATGAAATGAAACCTAGTTTTCCTGTTTAGATACGCAATTATCAGACTTTAAGAAAAATCTGTTGCAATTAAGTAGATTTTGGATGTTGAACTTTTGCTGATATTGAATTGGTGTAATTGAGTTGGAGTTCATTTCTAATTTTTGGACAGGAAACACCATTAATCGGATAAGAAGTCTCGATTTATTTTCTTTCTAGTTGTATCATAGTTCTGGAAATGGTAACAATCGTTTATACTATCTTATGAATAGACAAATGTTTTTAAAGATGCGGTTGATGAAATTATTGATTTGCATTGCTGAAAAAGTTTGAATCTGAGCGTTAAGGGATCGGAATCGGAATCGATTTTTTCTTAGAGGGCTGATTCGGATCGGGGATATGTTCGATTTCCAGTCTTAATTTGCTCCATAGTTCTAATACTGTTGGTTCATTATATTCAGTGAGATTCTTTATATAGTAATAAGATTGATTTAGTTTGAACTACTATGTTTCTATATTGCAATCTGAGGACAAGAGAGGCTGTGAACGTCTTATGTATGTCCTTCAAAATTATCATCTTTCTGTATTCGCCGAATCGCGGGTTAATTTTCGACGAGTTCCTAAAACGATTTTAATGACAAAGTAATTTATATTGGAAAATGTGAACAGGAGGCCTTTTCAAGCGAAATTTGCACCTCAGGATAAACAAGAGGGTGGTAAGAAGAGAGAGGATGATGATGACAACTGGGAACTTCCCGAAGGAAATCTTCCTTCTTGATCACAATCCCAATTTGTAACTTCTTCTCCCTTTCCTTTTCTTCTGCTGTTGTTGTTATCTTCCTACTATTTCGAAAGGCTTGTGGGAAAACTGAGGTTTCATCGGCTTCCTTTGTGATGAACTAATCGAAGGTACTACTATATTATTTTTTTGTAACAGAATGTAACTGGGATGATGAGTCTGTGTTTGTTTCACTTATTCAGTCCAGATTGTATAATTGAAATTTTATTCAGTAAACTGTGTATTGAGCTCGGTTGAACTTCCCCTGGAAATAGATATTTATTTGCATTTCGATGTTGGGTTGATAAATGTTTTAATTTTAAACTACACGTGAGATGTAAACCGGAAAAACGGAACAAGGGTAAAAGCATCCTATGTTAACATGAAACTTGGGAAGGAGAATATTACGGTTTATACTATGTTACAACTTACACCGGGTGAAATATTATCGGGTAAATCTTTATTATTCATAAGCACATAAAAATATACACATCTGCATTGGTGTGTGTAGATACATGTAAATATGATATTTAAAAAAAAATACATCTAATCCATCTTTTTATTTAAGTTATTCTAATGAGTAAAATAGATTATTAGATCATTATCCAAACACTTTAAAAGTTAGGGATAATTAGTGAAACCCCCCTAAAACATTTGATTATATTAGGATGGATATACCCTCATTTTGCATATTAGTGAGAACCCCCCATATTTATATTTTAATTTAGCATAAATCAAAATTATATATGGTATGTCTATATTACCCTTAAATTACTACATAAAAACACCAAACCCTATTTCTCTAATTCATTCTTCATTTTTATTCCGCTTGCCGTCACCTCTCTCGCTTCTCTCCCCTGCCATCTCGCTTCTCTTCCTTTCTCTTCCCTGCCATCGATCCCCATCTCTGCCCAGCCGCCTCTCAGTTGCCACCGCTCCCCACCATCTTCTCGACATCCCCATCTCCCTAGACGAGGACTGGCGGCGCGACAACGGCGGAGATTACACAGACTGCCCGACAACATCTCAAAGAGGGAGGCATGGAACAACGTTTTAGGCTTCCTCGACGGCGATCTGATGTGGTGGATTGGTAATTGGCGGATGACACCAGAAGGTTTTTGTCCTTGCTCCACTTGAGAGTGATTGGTAGGTCGAAGATGTGGAGCGGCGCGAGAACCCTGACATCCATAGCACACTAACAAAAGCTCTCGAAACGGCATCATTTGATTTCACGAAGCCCGTACTCAGTTCTCTTTGAAATTGAGGTTTTTTATTTTGTGGTTGATTTAGGTAAATTATAGTTGTTTTCGATTTTTATAGTTGATTTCAATAATTCTATAGTTGATTTCAATAATTTTATAGTTGATTTCGACAATTTTGTAGTTGATTTTGATTTTTTTATGATCGATATTATTAATTTGTAGTTGATTTTATTTGGTACATCTGCTATTGAAAACCACTACTTTTTTATAGTCGTTTTACAAGTTTCTTGTAAACCACTAATTTTTGTAGTCGTTTTACAAGTTTCTTATAGTTGCTTCGGGAAATAAAGAAACAAAAAAATAGTTGTTTTTAGTAATTTTATAGTTGATTACGAAGAAAATTGAGCCAAACAAAAATTATAGTTGATTTCAAAGAAAAATAGTTGTTTTCGGAAATAATAGTCGATTTGAAAAACCAATAACTAAAAAAAATTAAAATTAAAAAAAAAATTAAAAAAATATGGAAAATAATATATTTAAAAAAATAGTTTTTTTTTAAAATAATTATTTTTTAAAATAAATAAATGATTTTTATAATATATATATATATATATATATATATATATATATATATATATATATATGTGTGTGTGTGTGTGTGTGTGTGTGTATATTATAGTAATGGAAAGTGAATAGGAGAGATGGTAAATTTGGAATAATAGAAAAGTTGGATCTATCACTTATAATGAAAAAGGGACTGGATCTCCCATTATTAAAAAAACACTGAGGGGGTTATGACTAATAGTACCTAAAAGTTAATTCCAAAATAAGACATAACTCTTAAAATAGCTTATTAAATATAGGAGTCTATCATCTCTTTGGTTAACAAAAGAACATAGCTTATGCTCCTAACTTTTGAAATGGGCTTTTTGACCTACAAAAGATTGAGCCCCCATTGACTTGGGATTATACTTAAAAAGGTGAGGTGCATTTGGGCAATCACAAATTCCCAATTTGTGGCCAACGTAAATCCAACACATCCTTTATTGAGTCCCACAGATTTGGCGCCTCGACATCGTCTTACGTAATAGTAATGCATATATAATTGATTATCAACTCACTATTCTTATTATTACAAAAAGAAAATAATAACAATAATGAAAAATACTACTTTTTGGACCGACCAATAATTGTCTAACACTGACCTTACAAGCATTATCCACTCTCTTCCTTTAGATGCTTCATAATATTTTCTTCAATGTATTTTAGTAATTGCTTCAAGCAACCTGTCACCAAACTGAAAGTTATAGATAATTCTACTATATTAATTATTAAATATTTATTAAGTGCCTGCAAATTTAAATCACTTCATAATTCATATGTTGGAATATAAGAATTTAAGTTCAAATAAGTTCAAGTTTAGAACATTAAAAGTCCAAGCAAAAAAAAAAAAGTAAAAAAATAAAAAAGGAAAAGTTTGAACATGGGATAGCTGCTGACATTTGTCGTATCCAACTTCACATGAAACCCATGTTTTCATTTCTTAAAGAAAAAAAAGAAACTTGTCAGAGGGTGTGGGGGGTGGGGCCAAGACACCGACGTAAATGTGGTTCTTCAATTTCAAACCAACTGATTGCTCCAATTATATTTATATATATATTTTGGATAAAAACAACTCCTGGAGTAAGTGGAAGGTCAGTTTACAGGCACCGTCGGATCTAGAGAAGAAAGATACACATGTTCACAACAACCAGATTGGTGCTTACCTGTCATGACAGATCCCCATTGTCAAGTTGATCCCCATTCGCCACATGCTTCAGAAAAAACATAATACCAGGAAATACTAATATTTATTATTTACCAATCTTATTGTACCTCAACTGCTCCTTTTTGCAAAGAACAAAAAGATAATCGGCCAACTGCCCTTCAGATCTTGTCTAAATTCACTGATCATACATTAATCATCACATGTTAAATGTAATTATTGCACTAAAAAAAAAAAAGAAAAAAGGTAAAGACTTCATTCATTATTGAAGTTAAATTTTGAAGTGTCTATACAAGTAGGTAGGATCTTACTATTTTGAACATTCATCATTACTGCCAATTGCTTACTATAGAACGCATTAATTATTTCATCCTCAATAATTATTTAATAATGAATTCGACCCACATTTATGTGTGTGTGCATCATTAGTTATTCACTTATTTAAACCTCTTCCTCTCATTATATAAGACTCCATTTCCAAGAAAGAATTTTCCTACACATTTAGACACACACACACACGCAAGCATTGTTCTCTCTGGAAAAGGACAAATTTGTCCAGTGCCTATTACCAGTTGTTATAATATTCCAAAAAGAGAGGAACACCTTACTTTCTATTGGAATTGTTATCTGATTCCTAAGCAGACAAGCTTCTACTTATCTCTCTCTCTCTCTCTCCTCTATCTCTTCTCTCTGTTTCATCCATTGAGAGTTAGAGAGAGTAGTGATGGAGAAGCTGAACAAGTTGTTAGAAGCAGAAGCAACAAATATAGAAAGACCAGACGAAGAAGAAGGCCGTGATTGTAGCAGCAACAATCTCCATCAGTCACTGCTCAAAAGAAACAGAACACTTTCCTCCAATCAACTCGCCTTTGTTGGGACCAAGGTTTCTCATATAGAGAGCTTGGATTATGAGTAAGAACCTACCTATCTAAACTTAATTTCTATATATATAACTCACAATACTGAACATAGAAGAAATAAACTTGTGTACGTACCTGACACACAGGATCAATGAGAATGATCTGTTCAAGCAAGATTGGAGAAGCAGATCAAAAGTCCAAGTTTTGCAGTACATTTTCTTGAAATGGTTGCTTGCTTTCCTAGTTGGCCTTCTCACTGGAGTCATAGCAACTCTCATCAATCTTGCTGTTGAAAATATAGCCGGATACAAACTCCGGGCCGTGGTTAAGTACATCGATCAAGAAAGGTAATAATGCCTCATGATCTGCAGTAGTAATTGATCATCACTAATCATGATTAGTGATTTTTTTTTTTTTTTTGAGTAATTAGATGACTGAAAATAATGTGATGGGTATTGGCAGATACCTCATGGGATTTGTATATATGGCTGGAGCAAATTTTCTGCTGACGTTTGTAGCTGCGATTCTCTGTGTTTGCTTTGCACCCACAGCAGCTGGACCTGGAATTCCTGAAATTAAAGCTTATTTAAATGGAGTTGACACCCCTGATATGTTTGGTGCAACACAATTGATTGTCAAGGTGCATTGTTTTCTACAAATAATATACTTAAAGAAATTATTATTATTATTCAACTTAGAGATATTATGTGTTTTGCATTGGTACCTGATTTTGGCAATGGAAAATAGATAAAATGTAAGAATTAAAACGGGTTTTCAGAAGAGAGTACAAAATCTACTATCATGCAGAGTAATAGACTAAAAAGTTTGAGGTACATTACAGATAATAGGAAGCATTGGGGCCGTTTCTGCTGGATTGGATCTTGGCAAAGAAGGGCCTCTAGTGCACATCGGGAGCTGCATTGCTGCGCTATTAGGGCAAGGCGGGACCGAAAAATACCGAATTAGATGGCGTTGGCTGAGATACTTCAATAACGATCGTGACCGTAGAGATCTAATCACCTGTGGCTCCTCCTCTGGTGTATGTGCAGCTTTCCGGTCACCCGTCGGTGGGGTCCTCTTTGCTCTCGAAGAGGTGGCTACATGGTGGAGAAGTGCTCTCCTCTGGAGAACCTTTTTCAGCACAGCAGTGGTGGTTGTAGTGCTTAGAGCCGCCATGGAATACTGCAAATCCGGCGAATGTGGGCTGTTTGGTAAAGGAGGACTAATCATGTTCGATGTGAGTGGTGTCTCTGTGAGGTACCATGTAGTGGATATCATCCCTGTGGCTGTTATCGGAGTTGTTGGTGGCGTTTTGGGAAGCCTTTATAACTACCTTCTCCACAAAGTCCTCAAAGTCTACAATGTCATAAATAAGTAAGCATAAGCACCACCATTTTCTTCCTAACTAAGTCTAAATTTAGAATCTCACCAGTATTTTTATTTTTTATGGTATTTTTTTTTTGCAGGAAGGGGAAAGTTCCTAAGCTTATCCTCAGCTTGAGTGTCTCCATTTTCACTTCTGTGTGCCTTTACGGACTTCCTTTTCTTGCAAAGTGCCAGCCTTGTGATCCGTCATTACCCGATTCTTCTTCCTGCCCGAATACCGGTGGGGCAGGAAACTTCAAGCAATTCAACTGCCCGAGTGGCTACTACAACGACCTAGCCACTCTTCTCCTTACAACCAACGACGATGCTGTTCGAAGCATATTCTCCATAAACACAGCAACAGAATACAACATCGTCTCCCTGATTATCTTCTTTCTACTGTATTGCATATTAGGACTCATCACCTTTGGAATAGCAGTTCCTTCAGGCCTGTTCCTCCCAATCATTCTAATGGGCTCAGCTTATGGGCGTTTGCTCGGTATGGCAATGGGGCCCTACACAAGAATCGATCAGGGGCTTTACGCAGTTCTTGGTGCAGCCTCACTCATGGCTGGTTCTATGAGAATGACTGTTTCCCTTTGTGTAATATTTCTAGAGCTTACCAACAACCTTCTATTACTGCCTATAACAATGCTGGTTCTTCTCATTGCTAAAACCGTCGGAGATTGCTTCAATCCGAGCATTTACGATATAATCTTGGAGCTTAAGGGGCTGCCTTTCTTGGACGCAAATCCTGAGCCGTGGATGAGGAATATCACAGCTGGCGAGCTTGCAGATGCTAAACCAGCGATTGTGACTCTTAACGGGGTCGAGAAAGTGGGCCGTATAGTGGAAGTATTGAAGAACACAACGTATAACGGTTTTCCAGTTGTGGATTGTGGAGTTACTACATCGATGGGTTCTTCACCAAACGGCGCTAATGAACTGCATGGGCTAATCTTGAGGGCCCACCTCCTTTTAGTGTTGAAGAAGAAGTTGTTCCTGAAAGAGAGGAGAAGAACGCAGGAATGGGAAGTTATAGAGAAATTTACGTGCATGGATTTAGCTGAAAGGGGTGCTACCATTGAAGAGGTAACTGTGAGCAAGGACGAAATGGAGATGTACGTTGATTTACATCCCTTGACCAATACAACTCCGTACACTGTGGTGGAGAGCATATCGGTTGCGAAGGCGATGGTTCTCTTTAGGCAATTGGCGCTCCGACACATGCTCATTCTGCCTAAATATCAAGCAGCTGGGGTAAGTTCAAGAACCATAACTATATATGCATGTATATATGTATAAATGAAACATCATTTGACAGAAACATGTTCTTATTACCTGTTGGTTTTGATGGTTTGACAGGTTTCTCCGGTGGTGGGGATTTTGACGAGGCAGGACTTGATAGCTCACAATATTTTGAGTGCCTTTCCTCATCTGGAAAAGTCCAAGGCAAATAAGAAAGGGCATTGATCTCCCAACAGCTACTATACAAGCATTTGTGGCGTTGCCAGAAATATCGCAGCATGATTTTGTGGAACACTTCGATTCTTTTCTCCAGATTCATAGGCACATATTTTATATATATATTTATATAGTAAAAAGAGGAGTGTACACCATTTCTCACCGTAAAATACTGTCTGAAGTATACATCAGTTCATAATACATCCCATCTCTTAGAATCACTTGGTCTGTATGGAGCAACGGTACCAAATGAATGAATAATCAAATCTTTTTTTTTTTTTTTTTGTCCGTTTCAATCATAATAGTTCACAAATTTCAAATCCTTTAACAGAATTGCAGCCTAAAGTTTGTAAATGTAAGGCAACAATTTCCTCACCAGATATGAACAACCTTGATATTGAGGCAAACAGATTATTTAGGGCTGCCTCCAGCATGGATTGGAAATAACATATTGATCCTGCCAATAGTACAAACCACTCCACTGACACTTGGATAAGAGCCCAAATGGCCATGAAAACAACCAGTTTGAGTAACAGCGCATTTATTAAAATATGCATCAGTTGTTAATCCAGAAGAGACCACAAATATTCAACTACACAATTAAGGGGGCCTTTGAGGTCGGTTTAACCTCTTACCCCAAATGAGGCATTAGTGGAGTAACCCAAAACAAATGCTCCCTCGTTTGGAGCGTTAGCGCCAAATGTTTAGTACTGATTAAAACAAGAATATTTTAGAGAGAGCACCACTCTGAAAACTTTGGCAAGGGTGCATAGAAATTATATACTGGTAAAGCTTGTTCGACAAAGGTACATGATTGAGTCGATAATGAAGCATCAGCATTCAGCAGACTTAATTTACAATAGAAAGCAGACCCAATGCATCAAATGGGTGAGACCAGAAGCCTGAGATCAATCATCAGTGCCGAAGTAACGATCACCAAATTCTCCCATACCAGGTATCACACGGAATTCTTCATTCAGTGCCACATCAATCTCTGAGGTCACAATTTTTAAGGAGGGGAAACGTTTGCAAACACAATGTATTCCCTCGGGTGCCTGCATACAAAACAAATATAAGAATATGCTTCAATTCCATACTAAGAAAAAAGAAACTTTTTTATTCACAAAGAAATGACTCACAGATATGAGGTTTAGAAATATAATGTGTGATTCTGGAACTCCTTTCTGTATGAGTAACTCAATTGCCTGATTAGCAGAGTTACCTGGAAGGATAAGTTTTTTTTTTGGTCAGATCTCAGCAAAAAGATCAAAACAAAGTATACACAAATGAATACATCAGCAATAACTTCATGTAACAGATACCTGTAGCAAGAACTGGGTCAAGGAGAAGGACATGGCGCTCGGAAATGTCGTTAGGAAGTTTCTCATATACAAGCTGTTTAGGTTAGGAGAAATTTTGTTAAAACAAAAAAAGGAAAGAAACCCACAAAATTGTCAAAAAAAAATTATGAGGCTCAATCTTAAGAAAACAGAAACTCAACCTGCTTTCCATTGTCACCGTCACGGTGGATTAAGATTTTCCCAATTTTAATCCCTTTGCAACAAGCACGCAGTGCGTTTTCCATGCTTTCACCACTGTTAAGAAGAAAATACAAAATACCTTCTCTATAAACAGATCCTTAATCTCGTATTTATTAGAAAATAAACATTTAACGAATAAATCTGACAGTTATCAGTGAAGAGTAATTAAAATTTGAATACAGAAACACAGAATTGAGAAACACGGGCGAGACTAACTCTAATACTAACCCACCTACTAGAAATGAAAGGAGAAAAGAAAACCTATTGAAAAGAAGTCTGCATTTGTCTAAGATCCCGGGCCCTAACATACAATGAACTCATATTTAAGCATCACATTGAACATATTTTCTTACCTTCGAATGATAGAAACCCCACACAATTTCTTGCAAAAATCGACACCGGTATATACAGACCCTGCATCAGAAAAACCGTAAACTTTCAAAGTGCTCTAGTCTCAATGAAGTAGTTGAGTAAGTTAAATGAATTAAGGGTAGACCCCTCAAGAGTACGTGTCTTTGTTATGCATACCAGTTGGAGTGACAACTTGCATCTCGGTGAAGGGTAAGTGGCCAAGACCATGCTCCACAACCTGAAAAATCATACGTGAAAAAATTGCTGTGTATTTGGGACATATTCTCTGGTTGTGATTTTCAGTGGTAAAAAAGAATTCATAATTACCAGACGGATAAGCCTGTCGGAATAAAATACAAAATCATGTTTTGATATCTCTCTGTCTCGAATCAGGGTATGCATACCTCTTATCTGTACATAGAGGTCATAGATGTCGAGTTTAAGGACAAATAAAAAAATACCACAGTTATAAAGTTAAAAGATATCGATGCTGATTAATACAAGTTAGAGCTATAGTGAGTAACTGTAAGTTTTAATTTTTTAAGATGGAAGTTCCCAATCCAACTGTGTTTATAGCATTTCCTAGTGATTAAACTATGATATAGCCCAATTTCATGTCAATTGTTGCAATCCCAACATAACACTCTTTTCTTTTCACTCCCCCTCCACATTTGGAGACCTAAAAACTGAAAGTAAAAAAACCTGCTAATGTTGAGCAAATTTATTTTCTTGTCTTCCGAAAATAATTTTACATGCAAGTTAGTATGAAACGGAAAGAAGATTTTATAAGGGATACCTGGAAAGTCGACTGTATCACATACACATTAGGATATATCTTACACAGGTCGTGCTGGCCAAGCTTGGTGCGAATATGTTGGACAATCAAGTCAATCGCAACATGATTATCACCTCCACGGGGTATAATAACATCAGCATATTTTTTCGATGGCAGAACAAAATCGTCAAAAGCAGGCTTCACGAATTTTGCATACTGTACCAAGGATAATAATCACAGAAGTAACATTTTAGTTTTGGAATAAATTAAACAATATCAATCTTCAGTCACGAAAGATAAAGAATAAGATGCCTGCCTGTTCAAGGACTGAGTTTATGTCCCTACCCCTCTCAACTGTATCCCGTCTTATTCTACGTGCAAGCCTCACATCAGCATCTGAATCAATCAACCAAAACAAAAGAAATGATAGAAAAGACTGAATGCTGCTAGCCCAAACTTCAAATTATATACAGCAACACAAAATGAATAAATAACGCAAACTGATTCAATGTTAACCTGTGTCAACAAAAATCTTCATATTCATCAAGTTTCGCACTCGTTGGTCATGAAATACAAGAATACCCTCCAGTATTATTACATCAGATGCATTCACCTGAATTGTGCAGTGTGAGTATTTCAGGGGATTTAACTAATGATGCTGCAAACTAACAATGCAATCTGCATTAAAGCTCTAGGCTGTTTATAATATTAAAATTCAAGATGTGTACCTGGCGGAAGCTCTCTGAACTCCTTTGATGTGATTTAAAGTCATATATAGGAACGTGGACAGGCTGACCAGCCTTTAGCTTCCCAACACACTCAAGGAGCTGCTCCGTGTCAAAGGCATCTAAAAGTAAATACTTGTGGGAATTAAACTAAATGATTTCCATACAAAATCGAGTATCAAACTCAAGTCCGAACAATTGGGATTAGTATAATGAAGATACAATTTCAGATCATGAACTAAGTCACCTGGATGATCAAAATTGTACTCGTGCACACGTTTCAACTCTTCAGGAGTCAAACCGCGATAAAAAGAATCCTGCATTAGATCAGGTTAGGATATGTTCAAATTTTGCGTTAAATTATAATTTAAAATGCTCAAATCTACATTTCTCGTAGCTAGTGTTTCGGAGAGCCCAATGTTAAGTCTGTAAACAGGCAGCCAGGTATTTCTAAAAATCGGGTGGAAGGTCCAAACAATTTTTTAAGAAACCAAACAACTGCCTAAAAACACCATTGTTGACATCATTATCTAAGAATACAAACTCTAGAAATTTCCAGAAGCAAAGGACCATTTTGTAGGTTCTCCAGAATGTTGAATATCTCGTTTGCACATCCCTCAACACATAATTCTAGTTTATTCTGCAACCGCTTCTACAAATTGTAATGTAGTTTGAAGAGTCCAATTGCTGATCTAAATAGGATATAACGTTGCTTAATGGTGTTTGAAGAACAACTCGAGAATTTACAGCAAAAAAGTAAGAGCAAATACGAAAAAAAAAAAAAAAAAAAAAAAAACACGTAACCATTCAGAACCTGATTGACGAGCACTACACGATGATCATGAAGCTGCTGAATAATCATATCACAAACGGTCGTCTTACCAGATGCCGTTCCCCCAGAAACCCCTGCTCGACAATATTAAAAAAAAAAAAAAGTGAATCAAAACAAGTCATCAGAAAAAACAAAGCAAAAAACAAATCCAAGACAGTATTTATAATTCCAATTCATAAAAAGGAAATTAAATCACCAATTACGAAAGGCTGCTTGAGCGCGGTGGAATCGGAGACGACGGGGTGAAAAAACGAAGTGGGAGAGGCGGCGGCAGAAGCGCGTGGTGAAGACGAAGTGGCGGACATAAAACCGTCGAGACGGAGGCCGGAGAAGTGCGGTCCCGACGCCGCCTCCATAACGTAGTCTATAGCCGTCGTCTCCTCCGGCATCTTTATTGTTTAGTGAAAGGGGGTTTCGAGTTTGAAGTTGGAATACTGTGCTGCGTTTGGGTGCGTGCTGCAGACTTTTTCGTTTGCCTTATTTTCCACTCCCATTCCCCACTTATTATACCCTTAATAAATTTTTTTCCTTGATTTATTACGCAAAATTAAAAAAAATTAAAATTGCTTTGAGCTTTTTAAATTTAAATTTTAAATGAGCTTAATAACTTAACAAATTACAAATATTTCCTTTAAATATTGAAATAGAATGTGAAAAGGGTATAGTTGGAATCTTTCTTATTCAAGGATCACAAGTAACTCATGAGTCATGATGACTAGGATTTTATTAAAAAAAAAAAAAAAATTAGACACGTGCAAAAGCTATTCGATTCCTCACAACTAACTCCTAACTCATTAGTATATAACAAGCCAAACAAAATGTTGAATCAACACACATATAAAAGTGGCATTTCAGAAAATAACAACCACAGTATAAAAAACGGTTATAGCCTAGACGAAAAGCACAGCGGACGCCACGAACGAAGCAATCGAGGCAAATAAACCGAGAAACTGAAATCGGTCGGAAGACGCAGAAACAGAATGAGCGGCTCCCGGCGGAGATGTGGTGGTGGTGGAGGAGGAGGAGGAGGATGAATCCGCAGCTACGGTCGTGATCTTAACCTTCATACCCTGCCCGCAATGACCCGATGTACCACAAGCGAAGTATCGCGTACCGGCCTTGCTTAGCTTGATTGTGTCACTACCGGAGCTCAACGAGTTCAACGAACTGCCGACGTCGCAACTCTTAAGTGCGCTTTCACTTCCCAGCTCAACCACACTGTGCAATCCCGGAGTGTACTTAAACTCTGTATCGCATACAAATTTTAAAAAAATATATATAACTAACGATAATCAAATTTGAATCGAATTTGAGTAATTAACTAAGCACGTATATTTAATATACCTAGTTCATCTCCAACATTGAATGTTTGAGCAGATGCCCACGAATCGAAATCTGTGGATTCATCCCAGCCTTGGCTTCCTCCGACGACGTGTTTCTTCGCTAGTGCTCGTTTCTCAAAAACCGTTACAAGAATCACTAACAACAGCAACACAAATTTGCCACAAATCTTCATTATGTTTCTTACTAATTAATTAACTACAATTGGCCCTCGTTAATGTTTACGATAATAATTATGAGGCATCAATCATACCCCTATATAGTGATGAAATTTAATTTGAATTTGAAATTAATTATGATTGGTTGCATGTTAAGCGAATTCTGGTAGTCGGTTACATGGAATAAGTTCAAAGCTTCGCTTCGAACCTAAGCTAAATGTATATATGTGCTGTCCAAACAGGAAATGCTTTTCATGTACTTCATCAAAAATCGACATAATAATGATATTATTCTAACACAGTATATTCGTACTAAAACGTAAATAATACTCAATTACGCAACTAACTAATCAATATCCTAGTAATCAGTGAATTAATTAATAAGTTAATCGTGCTAGAGCTTCTACGTACTAGAAAACTTTATTTATTGTGTCTTCTAAAAAAGGCTATGATTTGATTATAGACAATGTCTTTGGCGGTGGTCCCCAATACGAAATCGACATGCGCGTAGTGTTTGATATATTGAACTTGAAGCTTGTCTTTTTTGTGCGGCTTTAGTATCTCGAGCAACGTCGCAACATCCTGAACATCAGATAGTGCATCTTGTCCACCGTAGCTTAAGAAGAGTGGAAAATCACGTCGGATATTCGATAAATTGTACACAGGTGGGGTCGATTCACCGTAATGCTCAAAATTAGCGTTGCCATAGTCGAATTTGGACAGGACTCCGTATCGAAAAGCTGCAAGTTCAACAAATGCAGTAATTTATTTTTATTTTTATTTTTATTTTTGAAAAAAAAGAGTATTAAGTTTTTTTTGTTTTTTTTAATGTAAATAAACTCACTTTGAGCAAAATGAACGAGGTTCTTGGTTGCGGTGGGCTGGGGTTCATTCTTCAGGGTAGTATGAACAGTAGATGCATTCAGACAGCAATTTTTTCCTGTAATAATAATAACGTTGTAAAATTATGTAAGTGGAATAAATATTAGTTAGTAGTATAATGTAAATTAAACAAATTCGGAGATGAAATTATAAGAAAAATAAATAAATAAATACCAGTAAGTACAGTTAACATGTCATAACAGTTGAGGCCAGAACCAGCACACAAAGCATTCAGAAACATAGCTACTGCATCTCTGTAGAAATACAAAAAAAAAACATTAATATAATTAATTAAACAAAATAAAGATGAAGCTTAATAGATTTTTCTTAGTTTGTAAGGCATGCATCCATAATTATTAATTATACCCTTTTGGATTGAATTCTGCCATCCCAAACATTGTAGTCAAGATCTGTTGGGATCCAATATATTAAAAAAAAATCAAAAAAATCATAATAATTAGAAAAATCGAAAACAAAAAAAATAATTTAAATAGTGAAAATGAAAGAAATGCATTAATTAATGTGCTTACTTCACCAACAAAGACATTAGCTGCTACAATACCAAGATCAGTTTTCATATGAGTTAGGTAAGCGACGGGGCTTAACAGGGCAGCCGATTTAACGTTGTGAAGTTTTCGGTTCGATAGTGAAGCCAAAGCTATCAATGTTCCCTGCATTTTTTAACGTACACTTATCGATCCATAAGGTACAAGTACAACTCATGAACTCGTTACAAGTACTTAATTAATTTTGCAGTACAATTACAATATATATGCAGGTAATTAGTAAAAGATTATATTGTTAATTGGGTGAGTTGGATATATAATTAATTACCATAGAATGGCCTACGTAGTGGATTTTGTGACCAGTTTGTTTGAAAACAAACCCAATGATTGATGGTAATTCATGTGTCACCAATTCATCCCATGTCCAGTTCCAATATTCCTGACGTCATCATATATTCAAATTCATATATAAATTAATGAAGTTATTATTTTTGTCAATTAATTAATTATAAAAAATAAAAAATAAATAACTGTGTGTGTGTGTACCGGGTCAGTGGGATCAAGGGTGAGGTGTCGCCTGCTGAACCGGGTTCCTCTGGTGTTGGAAATCCATACATCAAATCCATTGTCTGCTAATACAGTGGCAAGCGACTGTTGAGGAGTATTCAGCATCCACGTCATCCCATCCTGCATTTTTTTTATTATTATATATACAATTTCTTTACAGTGACAGCTGTCATTATTCTCTTCTAGACTATGTATTGCGCATGAAACTCTTTTTTTTTTCTTCCTATTTTTATGTAGGTAATTTTTTTTTTTTCAATATTAAAGATATAAATAAATAAATATTAGAATCCGTACAACAAGAATGCCGTGTTGCAGCAAAACCGGCGGCCGTATATGGCCGCGACGGACTCTTGTCCGGCCCTCCGGGATCCTTTGAACGCTTAATATGTAGCCATCATCAGTCGTTACCTAAGAACATATATAACTTCTATTTTAACACTTTAATTAATATATAATACTATAAAAAAAAAAAGAATTAAACTGGCCGGGCCTTAATTAATTACTAGCTAGCTATCCGATCTTACTTGGAATTCTTGGCATTTATAGCCATGTAATGTGGCGGCAGCGGCGGCGCACATCCCTGCTGCTGGCGGCCGAGCCACCTTATCTTCCAGCAGAAAACCACCGTGGCTGGAGGAGAGCGCTCGATGAGGAAGGTGTAGTGAGATTACTAATACTGAGGTCAGAAAAGCTAAATTCGAGAAGCTGTTTAAAACCATTGTTGATTTGTAATGTTTTATTAACTAAATAATCTCTTTATTTATGTGTTTGCACAAGTGATTAATTAATCATTATTAAGACAGGAAAAATGGATCAGGGAAGAAATGGTCATTGTCCACAATACTAGGCTCCTGTCTTAATTGACTTAGCTTCTGCAATTTTATCGGGAAAGATCCAAACACATGGTTAAGATAAGACACAATCTGAAAAGCACTAATTGATTGATATACACAATTGATCATCATATTTGCAGTAGTTGCTTTACTTCTTATAGATCGAAAACACGTTTGTACTTGTACAGAAAACGTTTTCTCTCTCTCTCTCTGTATTTCAATGGAGTTTTTCGTGTAAATTTCTCACTATCAAGCAGTTCTGAAAAGTGAAAACAAACAAGTTCCATACGAAATTGGCTGGCTCACCAATTATCAACATATACATTAATTAATTATTGCCAAAATTTTCGAACATAAAAAACAATAATAAAATATATCAGCCAACGCTCCGAGCAGGGCTCATCCTCTTTTTCCGTTCATTAAAGCTACGATTCGAGAGCAACCGAGGAAGACAACATTGTCCAGACTTTAAAGATTTGTCTTCAGTCGCAAGGACTCCATTGGGAGTGGGAGTAGTTCTTTCACCACCAACCCCAGGGGTGCCACTTGTCTCGTTTTTATTGGCTGCAGCATTTTCATTGTCAGCGTAATTATCGACACGTAAGCTCTCTTTGAAAAGTTCAGAAAGTCTCTTCTTCTTATCTGGAGTAGACGATTCAGTTACAGAATCAGCTGTTTCTTCCACTAATATAGGAGCTTTATTAACTTGTAGAACTCCAATCGAGAAGCTGTGGTGAACTGGTGTACTTCCACGAGACGGTGTAAAATCTACAATTAAAAATAAAAAAATAAAAAAATTGATGTAGTTTCGGAATGGATAAATCGTAAAATATCTCGAATATGGCAAAACCAAACTCTGTCAGAAACTAATAAAAAGGATAGGGGAGTAACTAATGGGCAGCTGTGCAATTACACCTTGTTATAAAGTAAGGTAAAGGCTAAATTAATGTCAATTGAATTTTTGAACGAAAAACGGACAGAAACGTTTAACTAGAAACATAATAGAGACTGCTGAAAATGAAGTTTCGAGTAAAATTAAAAAGAATTTAATTTTATGATAAGTTGCAGAGTGTTACTTACCACCATTAACACTAACAAAGTCATCTTCACAATCTGATTCTAACCATGGTTGAGAATCAAAGAAGGCTTCATCTTTGCTACCTGCAAGAAATCGGTCTGCAATAAGTCAATAAACATTAATCGGTCTGCATTGTAATAAAAACGCACCCACTTTTCATCGTCCGGTTGTTCGAAATTGAAAAAAAAAAAAAAGAATTCTTTAATTTTTAGATCTGGATAGAGTTATGGGTTTGTTAGGTCCTACATAATGTGGAAAATCCTCGAATTTTAGCAACAAATGCATTGTCTACATCAGCCAACTGTGTTAGGTTTTCCGGAGGGCTACTCGTCAGTTTTCATTTAAACAAGCGACTGCAACATTTAAAACAAATAGCATGCTTGCTTTACGAAAAAACTTCCGTCTTTCAATTTTCAGTAATAACTGATTCACCTACCAGAATAAATTCCACGTTACTCGAAGTATGCATAGGTTTCCATCTCCACTAATCCGACATAACGAAAACATTCATAACACAAAGAATTATTTCAAAGTCTCTTATAATAGTATAGTTTTCGAATAACACAAATAACGAAAAATCCGGAGAAATATAAACCATCTAAATTGGAGTGATACAGAATTCGAATAGCAAATATCGAAAAGTATAATTTTCGCAAAACTAATTAATTCAATCATATTGAGTAAAGAGCCAAGAGAAAAAGTAAAAAGTAACAAAACAAAATAAAATAAAATAAATTCAATTTTATGATTGGGGAAGAAACAAAAAGCATGTACAAACAACTCAAAACCACATTATTGGTTGCCCCCACAGAAATTTTGCCAGCTTGCTTGAGGTACATAACGATGTCAACAACCCAAATCACAACAGATGCAACGGTAATAATATATCATGAATTGAAGTTTTGAACCAGAAATTTTCGGAATTAATTAAATTTAAATTAGAACAGAGAAAAAAAAATGGAAGTGATAATAATACCAGCGTGAGGAAAACGAGCGGGTGAGAAGTGGGAGTTCACTGCCACTGGAACAGTGCGATCCACGACGTCGACCGTGTCGGAATTGTCTTTGACCGGCGACGGGATGAGAATCTTTTCGTTTTTGGACCCGATTGAAAAACGGAGCCTGAAGGCAGAATCCGGGTGTTTGTGCACCGAAACACACGAACCCATCTCTACAAAATACGTATACGGTATTTCCCCTTTTTAAGTTACATACATATATATCAAGTCATCAACAACACCTTCCTTTACACATAAAGACAGTTCCTTATTTCTCCGTCATAGAAACACACAAAAAGGGCACTTTTTAGAGAGAGAGTTTAGAGAGAGAGAGAGAGAGAGAGAGAGAGTGAAGTAGAAGTGAGAAGGAGAAGGGACAGGGAAGAAGAAACAGCAAGGAGGGGAGGGGCGTTTCAAGCGTTACCCCTTCACTTGAATAAAATGAATTATTATAGGGGAAACAAAGGGATGATTAGACGATGAAAGTCATGATGCCATTGAAAATTGATTGAAACACACAAAAAATAAAATGTGATGGATCAAAAAATCTCAAGTTGAGAGAGATTTATGAGGGGGTTTGAAAGCTAAGTAATTGTATGCAAGGTTGTAAAAATCGGTAATCGGGTCCGAGTCGGTCAGGCACCGACTCACGATTAATCGGTGCGGCGGTGATTAATCGGTGATAAATCGGAAATAAATCGGTTTTTAAAATTTAATATAATATATTTGTAGATATTATTTATAAATACTCAAAACATAGATAAAAAATATTTAAACATAGTTATATCTCGATCATGTGTATATTCTAATATAATATATTTAAACATAGTTATATCTCGATCATGTATATATTCTAATAACATAATAAAAGTTTAATCATAATAAGATCATAATACATAAATAAAAAGGCAATTTTTTTTGAATTTACATACATTCTTGGCATACATCATTAGTTCTTTAAACAATAATAATTAACATAAACAAAATAAAGCATAAACTCATTTTTTTTATTAAAATCCCAACTTTTATTTTGATTTATAAAAACAAAAAAAAAAAAAAAAAAAAAAAAAAATCGATTTTTGACCGATTTTTTGCGGATTTTTGCCACCGAAGTTTGACCCGCCTTAAAGGTTTGACCGCCTCGGACCGCCTCAAACCGCCTCACAGGCAAAAAACCGATTTTTCAAACCTTTACACTAAAATCGTAAAGGTTTTGGACCGCCTCCGCCTCGGCGACCGATTAATCGGCCGCCTCGGCCGATTTTTAGAACACTGACTACGACCTACCGACGTGCGTGATCATTTTTTGGATCTAGTATAAATATAATGAATTACAGTAACTTCCAGGACTAATTAATGATCAGGCCCGCATGTATAATGTACTATATCTTAAGATGCCGTCTACGAAAGGTAATCCGATCGCCACATCGTCAATCCAGACTTTTGCGGTAGTGTATGTATTCGTTCTTTTCACACTATTATTTACAATTATTCATTCATGAGTTACATAGAAAAACAAGAGAGAAGAGAACTGGTTGACTAATTTACAGCAATGGAGAAGAAGCTCAAATTCATGTTCTTGATTCTTTCT